TGTATTGAACCCTCCTTCTAAGTTCCCTGTTCATGGGCCCCTGCAGGAACTTTTGTTCACTCTGGGAAGTGCCATGTTGGAAGACAGCCGTCTGACAATCACCAATCGTGCAAAAACGTTGTTCCTGGGAGTTCAACGCGGCGAATCAACGTTACTGTTGCGTCCTGACGATCCTGAATCGTGCCTGAACGCCTTTCTTGGTATGCCAACGCCGCAAATCAACGTGACTGTTGCGCCCTGGGGGTCCTAACTTGTGCCACGACACCGTTCCTGAAACGCCAACCATGGGAACCTTTTGATTCTTGAAAATGCTCAACACGAATGTGCGCGGCGCTAGGGCGACAGCCGCAACGACCCGATCTCCATCCTGGAAGCTGTTGCAAACTTTGAAGACGAATGTGCGCGGCGTTAAAAACCGAAAGCCACATTTTGAAAACGGCCCGCCCTCCATCCACTTGCGAACACTTCAAGCGAATGTGCGCGGCGCCACGGCGAGAGACATTTTGAAGACGACCCGCCCTCCATCCGTGAATATGTTGCAAACTTTGAAGACGAATGCGCGCGGCGCTAAAGCGAAAGCCACATTTTGAAAAAGGCCTGCTTTCCATTCGTGAAACGGCTGCAGCATTTAAGCGTCAAGATCATGAATGGTGAGGAACTCTCAGGCGAAACGCCCGGCCCGCTTTACCGACTTGTCTCAGGGCGCGACAGGCAGGATTCTTTCACAAGGGAAAGGGATGGAGGAGGAGGGGGAGGAGGAGAGGAGGAGGAGGAGGAGGAGGAGGAGGAGGCGGAGGAGGAGGAGGAGGAGGAGGAGGAGGGGGAGGAGGGGAGGAGGAGGAGGAGGAGGAGGAGGAGGAGGAGGAGGAGGAGGAGGAGGAGGAGGAGGAGGAGGAGGAGGAGGAGGAGGAGGGAGGAGGAGGAGGGGGAGACGGGGCACGCAGACGTCGAGTGGCCCGCTTCCTTCATGCCGAGGAGGCCGGCGGAAGCCAGCACAGGGCCGACGCCAACGCTTTGTGCCCAGGGTCTGCAGAGTCCGCTAGTGGCCGCTCCCCGTCAGTCCAAGCGGAAGTTCCTGCCCGACTCGCGCCTCGAGCACGCCGGGGAGCCGGTCGTGGAGGGCGTCAAGTGCCCCCCCCGCCACCCGGCACGATCGGAACGGGTGCGGAGAGGATGGGCACGACGACCGACAGTAGTCCCTGCTCATCTTGAAGAGGACTCGTTGTCGGTGTCGCCGCGGACGTCATCCATTTGAGACAGAAGGCCGCGTGCCAAACAGCGGCCGCTGTCGTTTCTGGACACATCCGATCTTGCGCATCGTACCCAGTTTTTCCGTACGTACCCATTTCCGGTGTCCCGCCTCTCCGCAGGTCCCATTTCGATCCGATCGATCCAATCCGATATCGATCTCGGCCGTCCCGATCGGATCCGATTCTAGTATCCCGACGGTCCGGTGCGTCCCGACGCGTGCGTGCCGTTGACGTGCGTCGTGGCGCTGCCGAGCCGATTCGATGCCGACTCCGCCCCGGTGCAGCCCCATCCGACGCACATGTCGATTCGATACGATCCCCCGACGCGATGCTGACGGATCGCCCCCCGCGCGGGCCAGGCCCAGGGGCGGGACGGCGCTCCCACCGCGCCGCGAGGCTCCAGACATCCAAGTCTGGTGACGATGTTTCGTGCTCTGCTGACCGTTTCTGACTATGCTTTGACTCCTTGTCCTTCTGCCAGCATCCGCCTGCAGGAGGGCATGCTCGACCCAGGCCCAAGCCTCGAGGAATCGGGCCGCCGGACGTCTGGGGCCGCAGCGGTGGGGATTTATCCGTAACCACCGCCTGGGGGCTCGGACTCCGCGGACCTCCACAGGCGGTGGATATGGGAATCTTCGGGCCCCCAGGGGCCAGAATGTGTCCACATCCACCGCCCGTTGGGGCACCAGGACGTCGGTTCCCAGGCGGCGGATATGGATACGGTAGGTTCGTGCGGCGATGACGCGCCAGCGAAGGCGTTCAATGGTGAAGTCTGCGACGCGGAAGCACCGAGGGACGCGGTGACGCCACTGGACCCGACGGAGCTCAACCTTGAACGACCGGGGCCGCGACCGAGACTCGAGGTGGAGCGATCGACGCGGTGTCGACGTCCCCTGCGCGCCCCGGCGCGAAACGAGCCTGCCGTGAGTCCCCGCCTCGCGCAGGTACGCCATGAACATCTGGGTCCACAACCGCCCCTGGAAGATGCTGAGCCACTACGGCTGCTAGCGGGGGCCGCGGCCCCGCGGGCCCGCGGCAGCGCGGCCGCGCCGCGCGGCCCTGCGCTGCCGTGGTGGCTGGCGTGGGCGGCCGAAAAGGCGTGTGGCCCTTGCCGCCCTCGTTTCTGGGGGTGACGTCAAGTGGGAGGGAGCGCGTCTCACGGGCGCTTAGCTTGCCTTGGATCCGGCGGCGCGCTGGAAGGGGGGGGTTCGAACCCCCCCCCGCCCCCGCTGAACAGGAGGGGGGCGGGGGGAAGGCCCTGTTCCAGACCCCCGCCCCCTCCAAGCGCCTCCAGAAAGCGCTCTCTCGTAGGTGGGGGATACGGCACATCGACAAAATGTTGCACCACCTGATGCCCGCGACGTCAGACGTCGTTGTGCAATCGACGTTCCGTGGTCGCTCCTCCCCCCTCCCCCCTCCCCCAATCTAATACTGGCTACGGGCTGTGATCGCCGAAAAGCTCGGTGGTGCAACATTCTGTCGGGCGCCTGGGAAATCCTGTGCAGCTCATTCTCGCATGCCCCCTGTATGAGATTGGGGGGGAGGGGGGGGCAGGATCGAAGCATGCGTGCAAAGAAAAACGCACATTGGTGCAGCATTTTGTCGATGTACGGTAGGCTCAGGAGGGGGTGCTCGGGAGCCCGCGCCATGGTCGGGGGCAACGTTCTGGAAGGTTGTTGGAGGTTCTCGGAGATGTTTGGGGCCCGGGGTGACTTCCATTGGGAGTGCCTCGCCGAGAGCGCTCTGGGAGGGTCCAGATCGTCCCGAACGGCCGCAGGAGAGCCGAAGTGTGACCCGAAAACCAAAAAGGCCCGACAGCGTACAGCGTACCCGCCCAGGAAAGTGCGGATTCGCTATCGGCGGCCTGCCGCCGATCTACCGAGGATGGATCGCCGATTTCAGGTCGATGTTTCCCCCCCCTGAGCTGGTCCACCCCTGACGTTCCCCTTCAATTGATCGGGAGGAGACGCGGCGACGCGAATCGAAGACGTACCTGTACCAAGAAGCACACACGCACTGTACGTGAATCTATATATATATATATATACATATATATACATATATATATATATATATATATATACGTACACATACATTCAAGACTGCGTTAGCGTTTCGCGCCATGCATCTTGGTACTTGAAGTTTGGCATGCAGACGGAAGGGAAATTATGTACCATAACTTTAGCGATACTTCCTTTTTGCCTTTTCCGACATTGTCCTTATAATCAGACATCATGTTACTTATGATCCTTCACTCCTGATTCCTCATCCTCTTCCTCATTCTCGCCCTACCATCCTCTTCAGCTCTTTTTCCGGAGGGTCCTCCTTGGAGAGCTTCTCGGGGGCCTCACGAACGTTATTAGGGGCTTTCTGGGGTCTTCTGGAAGCCTCCTGGGCACCTTCTGGGGGTTTGGTCGAGACACCTTGCTTCCAACCGCGGTCTCCCTGCACAGCCGGGTCACGATTTGGAATGTCTCGGGAGATGTCTTGGGGTCATCTTGGGCCGTCATGGGTCTCTCTTCGGGCCATCTTGGAGCCCTGTTGGACAGTTAGGGGGCTCTCTTGGACTCCCTGAAATCCCTTTTGGATAGTTTCGGGACGATTTTCTGACTTCTTGGGCGGTCTCGGACTCCCATAAGACCGCAGAACAGAGCATTCCCAAATCATTCCAAACCTTTTTTTTTTCCGAAGGCCTTTTGGGAGTCTTCCTTGGTCGTCTTCGGGTGTCTGCTGGGTTTCTGGCGCCGGTCCGGGCTCTGACGGGGCCGTTCGGCCGCTCTGCTGGCCGATTTGGGCCCGTTGGCTGGGCCCGGCATGGGCGTCCAGGGGGGGACCTTCTGCAGAGGTGTCCAGGGCGTCCCCGGGGCCACGCATCCCGGGGGGTCGTTTTCGTTCAGAGGAGGGGGAGGTGACGGTTTCCCCCTCCCCATCCCGTCTTGTAAACATATTGGAAATATATGTATGCATTTATAGGTAGAACGTGTTTTTCTAACTTCAGTGCCATCACGCGCGTTATGTCCCCAACCCTCCCTCCCCTCCCCCACCCGTATAACGTGACGTTCCCCCCCCCCCAGTTCGTCCCCGGCACTGCCGCAGTACGTCCTGCACCACATTTTGGAGGGGGGCGTTACGTTATGCCCCTCCCGTGCCCCCCCATAACGCCCGTTATGGCCGCGAATAACAAAAAGCGTTCGTATGTACATGTTCTTTTGTCGGAGCTCCGCGGACCTCCGAGCGTTCATGCTTGGCTTCTTTCCCGTTCCGTGGCTGGCGGGAAGGCGCGAAGAGGCCTTCGAGCGCCGGGGGGCAGCGCTCGCATGGATCCACGGCTCGAGCCTGGCTCCCCGCCGGAGGCTTCGTTTGGTGTCGGGGGCCAGAGCCCAGAGATCGGCTAGGGCCCTGGTCGATCCCTAGTCGATCCCCTATAGGGGATCGACTGCAGCATTGATTTACCCCGAAATTGTTCTTTTCGGATCTACGAGAAGTGCGTAGAATGCTCCGTAAATCTCGGAGCATCCTACGCATGTTTCCCAGACTCGGCGCAAAAATGATGTTTGGGGCGAAGCAGCTCTGCAGTCGATCCCATACTCGAAGAGAGCGGAGCGTGCGGGCCGATCGTGCCCGTGGGTCGTCAGCCGGCGGGGAGAGCGTGCCGCGGGGGAAAGAGATCCGCAGCAGAAGGAGCCCCGGCCGAGGTCGGAGTGCGCAGAGCATCCAGGGGGGGGGGGGCGGCGCCCGACGGCGGGGCAGGTGCAGTACTGCCCGTGCGCGGGGCCCAACGAGGTGGCCGCCGTGGCGTCCTCTGGCTCCAAGAGAGGGAAAGGCCTCCCAGGGGGGGGTCCTGCGGCCAGGGCTCTTGTCAACGGGCAGCAAGCTCTAAACATCGACCTTTGTCCTCAGCTTCCTCCTCCGCCTCTTCCTGCCTGTCGTCGTCGGCCTTCTCCTTCTCTTCCACGTCGTTCTCTGGGTCCTCATCCTCGGTCTTGTCCTTGTCGTCGTCGTCGTCGTTGGGCTCTTCCTTTGGTCTGGTCTGTACAGTGTAGACCCATGCAAAGAAACACTCTGCTTGCCTCCAGGGTGCCTTGGGTTTCTTGGGTTGCGGTGGTTTTGCTGTGGAGGGCGTGACGTTCCCACCCCAAAGATCGATGAACATCCTGGGGTCTCAGGGTTGGGTTTCTTGTGGAAGGTTTCTTGTGAACGAGCTCCGACTGTAGGTTGCTTGAGCTTGTTATCCATACGAGACGGGCAGGGGTTGTGGGGTAGTTCTCCTCTTGGCCCTGCTGCTGGGCACGCGCAAGCTCTTTAGGGTATGGAGATGGGGCGTGTGTGGCTGTCATGCGAGCTGCGCCTGCCTTCCTGTACCTCGGGCATGTGCGCAGAGGAGAGTCAGAGGAAGCGCGTTCGCCTGTCACTGCCCTTCGACCCATCATGCCGATCGTTCACCGTCCCGTCGATTCTCTACGGGACCGCCAGCCTCGCAACAGCTTCAGGCCAGACATCCCGACGCGGGAGTGAGTGCTTCCCTCGCCGAGGTCGGCGGCCAGTCCGGGGGGGAGGTGAGATGGGGCGGGCCTCGTTTGAGGGCTCGGAAGTCCCGCGGCCTTCCGAGAGGGTTTCTAAGTTTCCCCCGAGGACACAACACACACAAAAACACACACACACAAGTTTGTGTGTGTGTGTTTTTGTATGTTTTTTTTTGTGTGTGTGCTTTTGTGTGTGTTTTTCCCACAGTCAGTGTTTTGTGTGTGTGCTTTTTGTGCGTGTTTTTCCCACAGTGCGTGTTTTCTCCCACGAAACTTTTACGAAGGCCAGAGGGCTTCCGAGGAGCCCCGCCGCCTTCCGAGAGGGCCCTCTCTCCTCTTTCGCCGGCGTGGCCGCGCCGGCGGCCCGCGCAGGCCACCGCGTATTGTCGCCATGACATCGCGCGCAAGGCCCGCTGCTGCGGGAAAGACACAGTGTGTGTGTGTGTGTGGAAAAACACACAACAACACACAGTGTGTTTTTTCTGTGTGTGTTTTTCCCATTTTTTGTTGTGTTTTTTTTTCCCACAGGCTCGTTGCTCAGGTCATGGCTCAGAGAAGGCAGCGGCATCCATACCGCAGCCGCTACCCTTCGGCCGATCTCTCCTCCTTGGGCCTCCTGGGAGGCCCTCGTCGCCACCGCCGGATTCGCCCCGGAGTTCTGGTCGGAGCGCACCCCGGGAGAGGTCCGGTGAGTAGGGGTATCGGTACCGTTTTGTACCCTCGTGCCTGACGCGCGAGGAGGAGGAGGAGGAGGAGGAGGAGGAGGAGGAGAGGAGAGGAGGAGGAGGAGGAGGAGGAGGAGGAGGAGGAGGAGGAGGAGGAGGAGGAGGAGGAGGAGGAGGAGGAGGAGGAGGAGGAGGAGGAGGAGGAGGAGGAGGAGGAGGAGGAGAGGAGGAGGAGGAGGAGGAGGAGGGAGGAGGAGGAGGAGGAGGAGGAGGAGGAGGAGGAGGAGGAGGAGGAGGAGAGAGGTCCACACTATTTTTCTGGATCGGCGCCGGACCCCCGTGCCCGGCGCGCGGAAGCGCAGCAGGGGGGGCGCCGGAGTCTCCGCCAGGGGGGATTCCAGCGCGGATCCGAGGAATCCGCGCGGGCCTCCGCAAGTTCATGCGTTTTGCCATTATTGCCCCATCTTCTCAGATGGGGTACGTCTTGCTCTCAGTATCCTGACCAGGATGCTTGTGGTTCCGCTCACGTTTCGAGGGGTTGTGGTTCTCTTCTCGGCCGCATCCCACCCGCGAGGAGCCCACCTCACCTACTCGGTGAGCCCTCCCACCCACATCATCGAATCTGCGCTCCCAACACACCTCCCCCCTCTCCTTCTCTTTATCACCTTCACTCGCGCGCGCACCATACACAAATGAACACACACACAACATACTTGGACACATGTACAGCCATAGGATTCGCAGGTCGTTGAATGTGTGGCATGGTCGCAGGTCGTGGCAGGCGTGGCACTTCCTCGACACCACAGCGCAGGGGGTGGGGTCGATATGCGCTCCAGGGTCCCAGGGCGTGGCAGGCGTGGCACGTTCTTCACACCGCAGGGGGTGCGCAGAGGGTGGGGTCGCTGTGCGCGCCAGGGTCCCAGGGTGTGGCAGACGTGGCACGTTCTCCACGCCGCAGGGGGGGGCGCAGGGGGTGGGGTCGCTATGCGTGCCAGCGTCCCGGAGTGTGGCAGGCGTGGCACGTTCTCCACATCGCAGGGGGTGCGCAGGGGGTGGGGCCGCTACGCGTGCCAGGGCCCCTGGGCGTGTCAGGCGTGGCACATTCTCCACACCGCCGGAGGGGGTGGTGTCGCTATGCGCGCCAGGGTCCCAGGGGGTGGCAGTTGTGGCACATTGTCCACACCGCAGTGGGGTCGCTATGCGTGCCAGGATCCCAGGGCGTGGCAGGTGTGGCACATTCCTCACGCCGCAGGGGGTGCGCAGGGGATGGGGTTGCTATGCGTGCCAGGGTCCCAGGGTGTTACAGGCGTTGCACGTTCTCCACACCGCACCGGGTGCGCAGGGAGAGGGGTCGCTATGCGCGCCAGGGTCCCAGGGCGTGGCAGGCGTGGCACGTTTTCTACACCGCACGGTGTGCGCAGGGAGGGATCGCTATGTGCGCCAGGGTCCCAGGGCGTGGCAGGCGTGGCACATTCTCCATACCGCAGGGGATGCGCATGGGGTGGGGTCGCTATGCGTTCCAGGTCCCAGAGTGAGGCAGGCATGGCACGTTCTCCACACCGCAGAGCGTACGCAGGGGGTGGGTTCGCTATGCGCGCCAGGGCTCCAGAGTGTGGCAGGCGTGGCACATTCTCCACACCGCAGGACAGTAGTAGTAGTAGTAGTAGTAGTAGTAGTAGTAGTAGTAGTAGTAGTAGTAGTGGTGGTGGTGGTGGTGGTGGTGGTGGTGGTGGTGGTGGTGGTGGTGGTGGTGGTAGTAGTAGTAGTAGTGACCCTAGCAGGGTCACCCGTCGTTTAAGGCCGGCCTGTTTATGGCAAGTAGTTTGGTTGGGTTTCTATACAGGTGTACGAATACCCGATATAGACTACGCGTCCTTCACACTTGACTTATGGCCGGCACGCTGTGAGGAATCCTCAGGAATTCTCGAAGAAACCGAAGGAATTCCCCAGGAATCCCAAGGAATTCTCCAGGAACCCTCAGGAATTCCTAAGGAATCCCGAGGAATCCATCCGGAATCTTAAGAGTCTTGAGGGGTTCTTCAGGAATCCGAAGGAAATCTCTGGATTCCTAAGACATTCTTGAGGAATCCCCAAAGAAGCCTGCAGGAAACCTAAGGATTTGTCCAGGAAGCTTCCAGGAATCCGAAGGAATCCTCCGGAATCCTGAAGGAATCGGAAGAAAATCTTCAGGAATCCTTAGGAATCCTTGCGGAATCCCAAGGAAACCTCCAAGAATCCAAAGGAATTCTCCGGAATCTCAAGGAAGTCTCCAGGAATCCATAGGACTTCCCCCGGAATCCTAAGGAGTACCAAAGGAATCCTTAGGACTTCTTCAGGAATCCATATGAATTCAGCAGGAATACTAAGGAGTCTCGGAGGAATCTATCTCGGATGAATCCGAAGGAATCTCGGAGGAATCCTACGGAATCCACGAGGAATTCTGAGGAATCTTCTAGGAATCTAAAGGAATCCCCGACGAATCCTATGGAATCCTTGAGATTCCATCGGAATTCTCCAGGATTCCTAAGGAATTCGTGCGGATCCCCTCGGATTTTTTAAAGAATCCGAAGGAAGTCTCCAGGAATCCTAAGGAAGTCTCCAGGAATCCTAGGGAAGTCTCAAAGAATCGTGAGGAAGTCTCCAGGAGTCCTAGGGAATTCTCGAGGAATCCGAAGGAATGCTCGAGGAATCCGAAGGAAGTCTCGGTGAATCCTAAGGTTTCCTCGGTGAATCCTAAGGACATACCCTGAAGATTCCTAAGGAAGACTCGAGGAGTCCTCAGGAACTCTCGAGACTGAGTGCGCGCGTGGAGTTGAGGTAGCTCCGCAAGAGAGGAGATCACAGCAGCAACTGCGGTGGCCACGGCGGCGCGGGACAGAAATTCCCATGGAAAGGGGCTCCCATGAGGCCACCAAATTGACACCAAAAAGACCAACTTGGCGCGATTCCTTTAGGGGACGTGTACGTCTTCCGCATCCAGGACGGCCCAAGACGCTTCCAAGGTCGCTCCGACACAGCCAGTGGTTTGCAATAGAACACTAGGTTTGTGTCCAATAGAAAATACAGTCAAACCATTGGTTTCCAAAAGAGAAAATATAAACCATTGGTTCCCAATGGGGAACTAATTTAAACTATTGGTTTCTCTAGTTAAAGCAATGGGTTTCCCACTCGGAAATTGTTGAAAAAACCATTGGTTTCCAATAGAAAACTAATAAAAACCATCGTTTCCCAATGGAAAACAAATTAAAACCATTGGCTTCCGTAGTTAAGACCATTGGTTTCCCGAAAGAAAACTAAGGTAAACCATTGGTTCCCAATGGAAAACTAGTGAAAACCATTGGCTTCCCATGTAAAACCAACGAAAACAATTGTTTCCCATGGGGAACTAATTGAAGCCATTTGTTCCAATGAAAAATTAATAGAAACAATTTGTTTCCAGTAGAAAATTATCCAGAACCCTTGGTTTCAGTGGAAAACTAATTGGAACCATTGGTTCCAAATGGGGAACTACTGGAGACTTTTGGTTTCCAAAGGAAAATTGTTGGTTAAAAGCGCGTGCTCTCCAATGGAAAACTGATGAAAACGAGCGTTGCCCAATAGAAAGCGACTTAAAACTATTTGTTTCCAATGGGAAC